TGACGAAAGCTTATTTTTTTTCTTTTTGTTTTCCTGGTCTCGAATCATGCACATTCTAGTCGCTATTGAGTGTTTCTTGATATCTTTTGTTAATAGTGAATTTGAGTTTTAGGTAGTGGAAATGCTTGATCTTGTGTTTCAATCTAGTGTTTCGAGCGTAGGGCGCATCAAAATAGTGTTTGTGAATTAATTGTGCAATTGCTTTGTAATCTCTAGCATACTTGTGCCTCCCTTTGGGTTCAGTTTCTTACTATGATTTACGTAAGTTCTTTATCATCAGTTTTGGAATGCTATCGTTGCTTCTCATTAATTAACTTGTTAGAAATAATAATGCAGGGTATGCTTAATCTGGTTGTTTGATCTCAAGGGGAATTGAGTAATCTATTTTCTTTGACGACAATGGTGGCCAAATTCTTTCGCTTGCTCAAGATTGTAGGTATCGGGTTTAAATCTAGAGTGGATGCTAAAGGACGCCTCTTGTACATAAAATTAGGCTACAGGGATGAGGTAGACCTAACTGATTCTCCCACAGTGTGTCTTTTGCTTTATGAGCAAATGTGGTATGTTGTATCGGAATTGACAACAATGCGGTCTACTGTTCCACCGCCTGCGTGTGGCAGAAAAAAAGGGCTTGTTGGGAAAGTCATCGATGAGCCCAAGCCCATGCTAGCGAAAGTGTAGAGGATAATAGGGTTGACATCATTGATAGAACATAGAGGACGGTGGGTTTGGGGAAAAAGAAGGAGGAGGAGTGAGAGGCGTAGAGAGAAGAGAATGGCTAGCAAGAGAAAAAAGAAAAGACGCTTTGCAAGAGTAAAGAACTGAGACGCCAAAGACGTGAAAAAGAAAGAAGAAGAAAAGTGAGACCCGCAAGGGAAAAAGAAAGAAACAAAACAAAAATAGTTAACTAAATAACAAAAAATGAATTTTTGTAGAGTTATATAAGAAGTTGTGAGCCCCGCAAGGGATAATATGGTCAAAACAGAAGAAAATGGAGTGTCTAAGATAAAGGTGGAGTGGAAAAAACATGACCTTTAATCTTATTACCACTTACCTTCATATACCTTGAATGACGCCAATTAATATCTCGAGTTGTACATCTTCACATCTTGCCTTATATACAAAGGTGCAAAGCGCCCGCCCTAGTCCTAAATTTCTTACCACACCCAAAACCCGAAGACCAAACTCAAAACATAACTACTGAACTTTAAGCTCAGTTATCACCACCGGTCGCCGCTGCCCACCATCGCGACGGCAGCGGCAGAAGATGTGGTGGGTGATAAAAGAGGTGAAGGTTTTGTGGGTGATGGGGGCTGAGAGTTTGCGAGAGACTTTGAGGATTGGAAATTCCAAGGAGGGGCAATTTGGTCTTTTTAGCAATGAAATTTTTTTTTGAAGGATGGTGAGTGGTATTTTCAAAAAATAGAGAATGGAGAGTGGTAATGGGGTGAAAAGTAATGATGTTTTATGGTATATTTGCTTCTTTTATTTGTTGGGAAAACTTGCGAATAAATAAAAACTAAGGTACCTCAATGAATTTAGATTTTCCTTCAAATTACACTAAATCATTTCAGCTGTCCAAGCAGGAAGTTTAAAGGACAGACCAACATATAATTTCTCTAAGCCAGAGTACCTAGAGAACTTAAATAAAATGAACATAAATTGATCATCGTGATCAACTAAGTGCTTAGGCATAGTTCCTTGTCTTTGAAGAGAAGCTGCAATTAGTGGCAATATACCGATTCTTGAAAATTGAAACAGTTAAAAGCTCAAATTCAATGAACAATTGTTGTTGATATATTTTGGGATCTTCCAAGTCTAAATTTGTCAACTGTAAATAGCTGATGAACCAAGATCAAAAATAGAAAAAAAATCAACAAAAGGGTCAAAGGTTTGCATCATCTTATGACCGCTATGATGCCCAGCAGAAGGGCCCCATGGTAAACTTTTGACAAGTTTCTCACGTTTCCACAGATCTTAACGTGCTTGACTCTATAAGAGGCAGGACAAATTGTTCCATCGCACTCAGTTCAGACTACAGTAACAAGTGAAAGACCAAGGTGGGGGGATCTCTTTGAGGTCTATCTAGTAGGTTGATGTGATACAGAGAAGTCCGTCATTAAAAGTCCGTTTATATTCAAACATCTAATAAAGATGCACGGAGTGGAATCTAATGTACTCATTCCCCGCATGACCATGGGGCAGCTATGGAAGGTGCGGTGCGTGTGGTGTGTGCAGAGTCAAGGAATGTACAATATGCCTGTGCTTGCAGGGTTTTATGCCTTAAGTTACAAGAATAGCGGTACATGCTTAGTTCTCCAAGGGGTGCATTAGGAAAATTCCATTGAATTGTTCTTGTGGAGAGGGTTTTATGAAATTTTCCCAGGTGAAATTAACTGACCCGACCTATTTCCAGCTATTCAAGAATACGAGCCCGGAGGAGTGCAAGGTTGAGTGTCTAAATAATTCTTCTTGCATGGCTTATGCTCATTCGGACGTAGGAGGAGCAGGTTGCTTGTTGTGGTTTGGTCATCTCATTGATAATAAAGAAATTGGAGTGGTTGATAGTGAGCAAAGTCTACCTTCTTCTGAATTAGGTAAGTACGTATATTGTGTCTGCATTGGCTTATTGGTTTGGCAATTGCCCTTTCTCTTTTGTTTTAGTCTCGCATTACATCGATGTATCCTTTGTCGATGCCAGACTGAATCACTTCCATGTTCTTACTGCTTATTTCTTATTTCCAAGTCCCTCAGGTGAAGTTTAGATTCATCAACTTTTTACAGTTGTTTTCCCCCCTAAAATTAGTTTGTTCACTTCTTCCAATATGCTAGATTCAATCTACTGTCCATCCAAGAAACTGGTGACCGTATGGGGATTGCTCATATTATGCACAACCTTAATTGAAATCTGGAAGAGAAGAATAAAAAGACGAGATACGCTAAAATATAAATATTTTACTCCATTTGTTTAAATTCTGGATTGCTCTTTTTTTTTAAGGCTGTCAAAATATTCAGGACAGGGTCCTGATGATTTTATGAATGAAGTCCTTCTAGTTGCCGGATTTCAGCACCAAAATCTTATCAGACTTCTCAGCTGCTGCATTGAGGGAGAAGAACGCATGTTGATTTATGAATATATGCCAATTAAAAGCCTGGATTAGATCGATGCTAGCTCCATCTCCAACACCATATGAATCAAAACACACCACACCACACCACACCACACCAGACTCTTCCTGTGAGTACTTTCTCATTTCTAAGGCAGTTAGGCTTGCATGAGAGTTGATTAATCACCGTTTCTTTGACCATGCAGGAACTCCTTCACTAGATGCTTTCTCTGTTAGTCATAAACTTTCAAATAATACATGTCCAACATGAATTTAGAAGTTTTTACATACCTTTTTATGAGCAACCCAAAATGGGTTCTCGAAAAATAATTTTGCCTAAGATGGTGCAAATGTGACTCACCCAAAAACAAATATTGATGTAGAAAACAAAAAATTAGTTGATAGTTTTCATAGGATTTATGAAAAAAATTATATATATAATATTGCGCAAAACAATGTTGCAAGTGATAAATTTCTTTCAGTATTAATTCATTTATATACGTACAAGTGCATTTTAGACGGGATGGGCTGATTAGCAAGGGAGATAAAAAGAAAAAGGGCCATCATTAGCGATTAGACGGCACAGTAAGGCCGCTAAAAGATTACGATTTGCTGGGAAAAATCAAATTTCTAGGACCTAATTCTCTGGAGAGACAGAGAGTCTATGCCCACCATTTTGACTTTGGCAGAGAGGATATCTCTTTTTAGCATTGCTCGATATATAAATTTTGGTCAATTAAATTCATCTATACAGTGATACGACGGACTGTAATTAAACTTTTAAACAAATTAAGCCGCCTGCAACAGCTATCAAGGCTCTGCAATATCAATTTGAAAGGCTAGTCTTAATACACGAAGTGTTTTCAAAAATTTTGTGGCCAGCAGAAGAAGTTCGAGGTGAACCACAACATTTTATTTTGTTTTTCTTTAGACCTTCTTCTCATACAGCGACCATACGGAGTGTCGTCTTTGGAATTTGCAAGCCCAATCATACAGCGTGTTACGACCGTTATGAATATAAATATTCCAATCCGATGACCATGTTCTTGCCAAGTCACACAGATTTTAGCTTGTCTGATGTCGTCCCCGTCGTTGTCGACTTGTAATTTGAATCTTCTCAAGATATCAATGTTCAAACTGTAGTTGGGACGAGGATGAATTATTCAAACATTTTTGAGTTTTGGCGAGTTTACCTTCAGCTGAGGGAACTTTAGACTGAACTTATCGACGCAATTGGCCAGGTGAAAATTTTTTTTGATTCAATCTTGAAAAAAATCTCGTACACAATAGACATTCTACCTCCAGGCGAAAGATTTGGTCACTTAACACGCCACGTGGAGAAGAAGACCAAACGGATCGAGTCGAGGTCATAGAGGGCGTGAGATTATGAACCTTCACGGCATGGAGGCCATCTAGTATCCAAGGTGTATCTCCACCCGATGGGACTGTGTTACTACTTTCTACATCATTTGGTCGTATGCGAGCTTGGACTGGTGCAACAAGGATGGTGACAATGGCGGCAAAACAGAAAGCGTGAAGTGGTACATTAATAGAACTCACTTTTTCACCAATTCGAATCATTTAGATTGGTCCTTGACCATTACAGGAAGATTGGAGACCCATACACGAACATTTGAGTGGCTGGTCTTCTTGCGTGACCCAACTCAATCCAATCAGGAGGTCCTGGAACTTGCTCTGCACCAAACAGAGGTACCTGTCTTCTATTTCTTATGCTGATATGCTATTCTGAAAAGTTTGAATCTGTCTAGTTATTTGCTTCATCTCGTAGATCAAATAGAAGGGTTTGCCATGGCAGATCCTCCTATCTTCAGCTCCTTTTGAACTTCCATCGTCGTTTTGTCACTGCTGCACCTATCAAGTGCAGGTGACACCATGAGTTTAGTTCAATCCATTAAAGAGGGAGAGACATTAGTTTCCCAGGGCCGAAAATTTGAGCTTGGTTTCTTTTCAGCTGGAAGCTCAATGAACAGATTCCTGGGGATATGGTTTGTAGTGAGTCCTGAAACGGTTGTTTGGGTTGCTAACCGGAACAGTCCACTTTCCGATTCAACTGGTACTCTGGAAATAAGCAATGAAGGTGAACTTGTTCTTCTCAACCAATCAAAGAGCGTCATTTGGTCAACGAATTCAACCAAGGTTCTTGGAAACCCAGTTGCACAGCTCCTAGATTCTGGTAACCTCGTTCTTAGGGAAAGCAACAATTCAGTTTCTGTTGATTACTCATGGCAGAGCTTTAATTTCTCATCAGACACGATTTTGGTCGGTATGACAGTAGGATGGAACTTCAGAACCGGTTTGGAACATCATCTGACTTCCTGGCGAAGCACGGACAATCCTTCCCCTGGAGACTATACATACAGATACAAAATCGATGGGTTACCTCAACTTGAAATAGTCAGCAAAGGTTCCGTCAAAGTATATCGAACTGGGCCATTGGATGGAGTCAAATTCGGCAGTATTTCCATGGAGGGAAATACCATTATAACCCCATCTTTGTTTACAACACAACGGATGCCTATTTTGCTTTTGAAACCTTAAAGAACGAAATCACTGCCAAATTCATATTAAGCCCGGATGGTGTTATACAGTGTCATCTACTGAAGAGTGGAAGCACTAAGTGGGATATGATGGACTCGCTCCCTCATGACCCTTGTGACACCTATGGACTGTGTGGCGCTAATGCTGTGTGCAGTGGTAACCAAAGCCCAAAATGCCTTTGCTTGCATGGTTTTATGCCCAAGTCACGAAAAGAGTGGGACATGCTTAATTCAACAGAGGGGTGCATAAGGAAAATTCCATTGAATTGTTCTAGTCCGGAGGGTTTTATTAAGGTTTCACAGGTGAAATTACCTGACCTGGTAGATTTCCAGCTATTCAAGAATATGAGCCTTGGGGAGTGCGAGCTTGAGTGTCTAAAGAATTGTTCTTGCACGGCTTATGCTAATTCGGATATTAGAGGAGCATGCTGCTTGATGTGGTTTGGCAATCTCATTGATATTAAGGAAATTGACGGGGTTGATAATGGGCAAAGTCTCTACATACGGCTACCTGCTTCTGAATTAGGTAAATACATGTATTTTATCTGCATTGGCTAATTGGTTTAGCAATTGCTTTTTTCTTGTTTGTTCCAATCTTTCATTACGTCAAAGTGTCCTCTGTCAATACCTGACTGAACTACTGTTCTGTTCCTTGCTATTTACATCTCATGTTCAAGTTCCTCCAACAGAGAGATTCATTAGCTTACAGATGAACTCTTTCTCTAATATTAGTTACTTCACTACCTTCTATATGCTATAACACCGCAATCCATTCAAGAAACTGGTGACTATCATAGTGGCTTCAGCCATTTCGGGATTGCTTATTGTGGGCATGGCATTGAGCATAATCAAGAAAAGAAGAATGAAAAGATGAGGTAAGCTAAATACCTTTCTTTTACATCATGTAATTAAATTCAGGATTGCATTTTTTCTTGTTGAGATTATGGTATAGTTTGAGAAACTAGTTTACATCCCTTGTAGGCTTGCCAAGTGGGACGGACGACATTGATTTGCCATTATATGATTTTGCTACTATTGTTGTTGCCACCAACCATTTCTCTCAAACAAACATGCTAGGAGCGGGCGGCTTCGGTTCTGTCTTCAAGGAAATCAGTTGTAAATCAATAAATTCAAATAACAATAGAGGCCCACAATGAGTAAAATACATGCAGGGAAGACTTTCCACCGGACAAGAAGTTGCAGTGAAAAGGCTGTCAAATCATTCCAAGCAAGGTCCTGATGAGTTTATGAATGAATTCATTCTAATCGCCAGACTTCAGCACCGGAATCTTGTTGGACTTGTTGGCTGCTGCATTGAGGGTGAAGAAAGAATGCTAATTTATGAATACATGCCAAACAAAAGCTTGGATTATTTCATTTTTGGTCAGGACCACTTGTTCTTTCTCAGTTCCTTTTCACTCGATTCCTTATGCTTTTGTTCTGTCCGTTGATTCCTTCGCCAGAAAATACAGCTAACTGCAAACAACCTAATTACTTTTTGATGGGGTTGAGTGTGTGTAGATCATGATAGAAGCTCCTCTTTGGCATGGAAAAGGCGATTTGACAATGTTTTAGGAATCGCCCGAGGTCTTCTCTATCTCCACCAGGATTCAAAAGTACAAGTTATCCACAGAGACCTTAAAGCGAGTAACATTTTGTTAGATGGTGACATGCATCCGAAGATTTTGGATTTCGGTCTGGCAAGGAACTTTCAAGGAGATGACACGGAGGCAAGGACTCAAAGAATAGTTGGTACATAGTAATTAAGATTCTCATCTTGATTCATTCGAACACTGCACTATCCATTAGTATTTGGAGGAACTGACGCCCGATTTCCCGATTTGCTTGACGCAGTGGTTACATGTCCCCAGAGTATGCCTTTGACGGAAAATTCTCTGTGAAGTCCGACGTTTTTAGCTTCGGTGTGCTTTTGTTAGAGATGGTCAGTAGCCAAAGGAATAGAGGATTCCAACATCCTGATCATTATCACAACCTTCTTTGGCACGTAAGTGGTAGATGATTTTTAAAATCTGCCAATTTCTTTTTCGCTAAACAAGATCAGATATTCTGTTTCTCCCAAAACCTCATCCCATTTGTTCTTTGTTCCCGTAGACATGTTCTCTTTTTGATGTCCAGATACTGGTAATCATGAATGGTTTAAAATTTTTAGGCATGGTTGCTATGGAGTGAAGAGAGGGCCATGGAACTCGTAGATGTATCTTTATGCGACTCTGTCGTCGAGTCTCAATCAGAGAGATGCGTTCAGGTGGGCTTGCTGTGTGTCCAAAAGTTTCCTGAAGATAGGCCGACAATGGCTAGTGTTGTTTTCATGTTGCCAAATGAAGGAGCAACCTTGCCACAACCTAAAGAGCCTGGTTTCTTCATGGAGAGGAGTTCAGGTAGCTCAGATGCATCTTCAGTTGAGGAAGAAGCCTACACACCCAATGTTATTACAGTCACAATGCCAGAAGGTCGATAGAAATGCCATTGATAATGTTCTGCAGATTGTAGACCGGCTATCTCGGGTACAAAGGACAGAAGAACCATATGATAGTGTAAAGTTCAATGATAAATTTGTCAAACAGGGTGCTGAAAGTTTCAGTACTCAATTTTAAGTATTGAAAATAAAAATAAAAAGTTGTTTGGTGATAATTGTAAAGTTCTAGCTATATGTTACTGATTTCTTACAAAGCTATAATAATGACAATTATTCGTAGGTTTTAGCAATATATTTTGCAATTTTAGTTGCCATCTAAATTTTATTATTTAATCCTCCCTTACTTACCACATTAAGTGCTTAAGCATACTTCATTATCTTTGAAGAGAAGCAGCAATTAGTGGCAATAAACCGATTCTTGAAAATTGAAGCAGTTAAAAGCTAAAATTCAATGAACAATCGTCATTGATTTATTTTGGGGGGTTCCAAGTCTAAATTTGTCAACTGTAAATAGCTGATGGTTTTAGCCAAAAAAAAAAAACACTGCAAATAGCTCAAATATAGAAAAAAACTCAACAAAATGGTCAAAGGTATGTATCGTCTTATGACCGCTATGATGCCCAGCAGAAGGGCCCCATAGTAAACTTTTGAGAAGTTTCTCACGTTTCGACAGATCTTGATATGCTTGACTCTATAAGATGCAGGAGAAATTGTCCCATCGCTCTCGGTTCAGACTACAGTAACAAGTGAAAGACCAAGGTGGGGCGATCTCTTTGAGGTCTATCTAATAGCTTAATGTGATACAGAGAAGTCCGTCATTAAAAGTCCGTTTATATTCAAACATCGAATAAAGATGCACGGAGTGGAACCTAATGTATTCATTCCCCGCATGACCATGTGACAGCTATGGAAGGTGCGGTGCTTATGGTGTGTGCAGAGTTAAGGAATGTACAAAATGCCTGTGCTTGCAGGGTTTTATGCCTAAGTTACAAGAATAGTGGTACATGCTTAGTTCGCCAAGGGGTGCATTAGGGAAATTCCATTGAATTGTTCTCGTGGAGAGGGTTTTATGAAATTTTCCCGGGTGAAATTACCTGACCCGACCTATTTCCAGCTATTCAAGAATATGAGCCCAGAGCAGTGCAAGGTTGAGTGTCTAAATAACTGTTCTTGCACGGCTTGTGCTCATTCGGATGTAGGAGGTGCAGGTTGCTTGATGTGGTTTGGTGATCTCATTGATATTAAAGAATTTGGAGTGGTTGATAATGAGCAAAGTCTACCAATGTCTACCTGCTTCTGAATTAGGTAAATACGTATATCATATTTACATTGGCTTATTGGTTTAGCAATTGCCCTTTCTCTTTTGTTCTAGTCTCGCATTACATCGATGTATCCTTTGTCCATGCCAGACTGAATCGCTTCCCCGTTCTTACTGCTTATTTCTTATTTCCAAGTTTCTCCGGTGAAGCTAGATTCATCAACTTACAGTTGCTTTTTTTCCCCTGAAATTAGTTAGTTCCCATCTTCCAATATGCTAGATTCAATCTACTGTCCATCCAAGAAACTGGTGACCATATCGGGATTGCTTATAGGATGCACAACCTTAATTGTAATCTGGAAGAGAAGAACAAAAAGACGAGGTACGCTAAAATACAAATATTTTAGTACATGTGTTTAAATTCTGGATCGCTCTTTTGTTTTAAGGCTGTCAAAATATTCAGGACGAGATCCTGATGATTTCACAAATGAAGTACTTCTTATTGCCGGACTTCAGCACCGGAATCTTGTCAGACTTCTCGGCTGCTGCATTGAGGGAGAAGAAACCTTGTCGATTTATGAGTATATGCCAAATCAAAGCCTGCATTAGATTGATGCCAGCTCCATCTCCAACACCATATGAATCACACCACATCACACCACACTACAAACTCTTCCTGTGAATACTTTCTCCTTTCTAAGGCAATTAGGCTAGAGGAGAGTTGATTAAGCACTGTTTCTTTGACCATCCAGGGACTCCTTCACTGGATGCTTCTCTGTTAATCATATACATTCAAACAATACATGTAAAACATGAATTTAAAAGATTTTACATACCATTTGATGAGCACACCAACATACCCTCACTAAAGATAATTTTGCCTAAGATAATGCTAATGTGACTGCCCCAAAAAAAAGTCGATGTACCAAAAAAAAAAGAAAATAATATATTTTTGAATATATGAGAAATTATATATATATATATATATATATATATTATTTCGTGGGTCAAATTTGCAAGCGATGAATTTTTTTCAGTGTTAATTTACTTATATACGTACATGTGCAATTTACTTTCACTGCCTGCTCGGCATGGATGGGCTGATTAACTAGGGAGATGAAAAGAAAAAGGACCATCATTATCAATTTACGATTTGCTGTGCAAAATTAAATTTCTAGGACCTAATTGTCTTGAGAGACGGAGAGTTTATTCCACTATCTTGACTTTCACAGAGTTAATAGGTTCTTTAGCAATACTTGATATATAAAGCTGGGTCTATTAGATTCATCTATATAGTGGTACGGCGAACTGTAATTGTGCTTTTAAACAAATTAAGCCACCTGCAATATCTAATAAGGCTCTACAATATCCATTTGAAAAGCCAGTCTTAATACATCTGAGAATTTTCAATAATTTCTGATCAGTAAAAAATGTTCCAGGTGAACCATAAAATCTTTTTTGTTTTCTTTAGACCTTCTTCTACGACAACGACCATACGGGAGTGTCGTTGGAATTTAAATGCCCAAATAGCGTGTTATGACCGTTCTAACGTATGAATATGAGTAATCGCATTCCGATGACTAGGTTCTTGCCAAGCCTGACAGATTTTAGCGTGTTGGAGACTGATCCACGAACATTTGAGTGGCTGGTCTTCTTGCATGACCCGACTCAATCCAATCAGCGAGTCCCAGAACTTGCTCTGCACCAAACTAAGGTATCTGTCTTCTTTATCTTATCCTGATATGCTATTCTGAAAAGTTTTAATCTTTATCTAGTTATTTGCTTCATCTCGTAGATCAAGCAGAAGGGTTTGCAATGGCAGATCCTCCTATCTTCAGCTCCTTTTGCACTTCCATCGTCCTTCTGTCACTGTTGCGCCTGTCAAGTGCAGGTGACACCTTGAGTTCAGTTCAATCTATCAAAGAAGGAGAGACTTTAGTTTCCCAGGGCCGAAAATTTGAGCTTGGTTTCTTCTCTGCCGGAAGCTCAAAGAACAGCTTCCTAGGGATATGGTTCGTGGTGAGTCCTGAAACGGTTGTTTGGGTTGCTAACAGGAACAGTCCACTCACCGATTCAAATGGTACTCTGGAAATAAGCAATGAAGGTGAACTTGTTCTTCTCAACCAATCAAAGAGCGTCATTTGGTCAACGAATTCAACCAAGGTTATTGGAAACCCAGTTGCACAGCTCCTAGATTCTGGTAACCTTGTTCTTAGGGAAAGCGACAGTTCAGGTTCTGTGGATTACTCATGGCAGAGCTTTGATTACCCATCAGACACGATGTTGGATGGTATAACAATGGAATGGAACTTTAGAAACGGTTTGGCACGTCATCTGACTTCTTGGAGAAGTACAGATGATCCTTCCCCTGGTGACCATACATTCGGATACAAAATTGACGGCTTACCTCAACTTGAAATAGTCAGCAGGGGGTCAGTCAAATTATTTCGAACGGGGCCATGGAATGGAGTTGGATTTGGTGGTGATTCCAATGAGACGAGTATCATCGTTAAAACCATCGCTGTTTACAACGAAACGGGTGCCTATTACAAGTCTGAAACTTTAAAGGACAATGTCACTCTCAAAGGCATATTAAGGTCAGATGGTGTTATGCAGTGTCATATATTGAAGAGTGGAAGCACGGTGTGGGATTTTATGTACTCGGTCCCTCATGACCCTTGTGACACCTATGGACTGTGTGGCGCTAATGGCGTATGCAGAGTTAACCAAAGCCCAAGATGCCTCTGCTTGCAGGGTTTTATGCCCAAGTCACAAGAGGCGTGGGACATGCTTAATTCGACAGAGGGGTGCATAAGGAAAATTCCATTGAATTGTTCTCAGCGGGAGGGTTTTATGAAGCTTTCGCAGGTGAAACTACCTGACTTGGTAGATTTCCAGCTATTCAAGAATATGAGCCTTGGGGAGTGCAAGGTTGAGTGTCTAAAGAATTGTTCTTGCACGGCTTATGCTAATTCGGATATTAGAGGAGCAGGCTGCTTGATGTGGTTTGGCGATCTCATTGATATTAGGGCAATTGACGTGACTGATAATGGGCAATATCTCTTCCTACGGCTACCTGATTCTGAATTAGGTAAATACAAGTATTTTATCTGCATTGGCTAATTGGTTTAGCAATTGCTTTTTCCTTGTTTGTTCCATTCTTTCATTACGTCGAAGCGTCCTCTGTCAATACCTGACTGAACTACTGTTCTATTCCTTACTGTTTATATCTCATGTTCAAGTTCCTCTAACAGAGAGATTCATCAGCTTATGGATGAACTCTTTCTCTAAAATTAGCTACTTCACTTCTTCCTATATATTAGATTCAATCCACAGTCCATCCAAGAAACTGGTGACTATCATAGTGGCTTCAGCCATTTCGGGATTGCTTATAGTAGGCATGACATTGATCATAATCTGGAAGAGAAGAATGAAAAGACGAGGCAAGCTAAATACCTTCCCTATTCCTTCATGTGGTCAAATTCCGGATTGCTTTTTTCTTGTTGAGAATATGATATGGTTTGAGAAACTAGTTTACAACCGTTGTAGGCATGCCAAGTGGGACAGATGACATTGACTTACCATTATATGATTTTGCTACCGTTGCTGTTGCCACCAACCATTTCTCTCAAACAAACAAGCTAGGAGCGGGCGGCTTCGGTTCGGTCTACAAGGTAATCAATTATAAATCAATAAATTCAAATAACAACAGAGGCCCTCAATGAGTAAAATACATGCAGGGAAGTCTTTCCACAGGACAAGAAGTTGCAGTGAAAAGGCTGTCAAAATTTTCTGGGCAAGGTCCTGATGAGTTTATGAATGAAGTCGTTCTAATCGCCGGACTTCAGCACCGGAATCTTGTTGGACTTGTTGGCTGCTGCATTGAGGGTGAAGAAAGAATGTTAATTTATGAATACATGCCAAACAAAAGCTTGGATTATTTCATTTTTGGTTAGAACCACTTCATCTTTCTGAATTCCTTTTCACTCGATTCCTTATGCTTTTGTTCTGTCTGTTGATTCCATCACTAGAAAATACAGCTAAATGCAAACAACCTAATTAGTTTTTGATGGGCTTGTGTGTGTGCAGATCATGACAGAAGCTCCTCTTTGGAATGGAAAAGGCGATTTGACATTGTTTTAGGAATCGCCCGAGGACTTCTCTATCTCCACCAGGATTCAAAACTACAAGTTATCCACAGAGACCTTAAAGCGAGTAACATTTTGTTAGATTATGACATGAATCCAAAGATTTCGGATTTCGGCCTGGCAAGGAACTTTCAAGGTGATGACACAGAGGCAAAGACTAGAAGAATAGTTGGTACATAGTAAGATTCTCATCTTATTTCATTTGAACACGGCACTATCCATCAGTATTTTGAGAAACTGAAGCCTGATTTGCTTGATACAGTGGTTACATGTCCCCAGAGTATGCCTTTGACGGAAAATTCTCTGTGAAGTCTGACGTTTTTAGCTTCGGTGTGCTATTGTTAGAGATGGTCAGTAACCAAAGGAATAGAGGATTCCAACATCCTGATCATTGTCACAACCTTCTTGGGCACGTAAGTGGTCGATGATTGTTAAAATCTGCCCCATTTTCTTTTTCGCTAAACGAGATCAGATATTCTGTTTCTCCTAAAACCTCATCCCATTTGTTCTTTGATCCCGTAGACGTGTTTTCTTTTTGATGCACAGATAGTGGTAATCATGAATGGTTTAAATTTTTTAGGCATGGTTGCTATGGAGTGAAGGGAGGGCCATGGAACTCGTAGATGTATCTTTATGCGACTCTGTCGTGGAGTCTCAAGCTGAGAGATGCGTTCAGGTGGGCTTGCTATGTGTCCAAAAGTTTCCTGAAGATAGGCCAATAATGTCCAGTGTTATTTTCATGTTGGCAAATGAAGGAGCAACCTTGCCACTGCCTAAAGAGCCTGGTTTCTTCATGGAGAGGAGTTCAGGTAGCTCATATGCATCTTTAGTTAAGGAAGAAGCCTACACACCCAATGTTATTACGGTCACATTGCCAGAAGGTCGATAGAAATGTCATTGAGGATGTTTCTGCAGATTTTAGGCATGTCATCTCGGGTACAAAGGACAGAAGAAGCATCTGATAGTGTAAAGTTCAATAATAAACTTGTCAAACAAGGTATTGAAAGTTTCGGTACTGAATTTTAAGTATTGAAAATAAAGATAAAAAGTTGCTCGGTGATAATTGTAAAGTTATAGCTAAATGTTACTGATTTCTTACAAAGCTATAATAAAGACGATTATTCGTAGGTTTTAGCAATATATTTGACAATTTTAGTTGCCATCTATTTTTTATTATTTAATCCTCCCTTACTTACCACGTTAAATGGATTTTTGACTTAATTGAGTTTATCAAGTCAATGCTAATTAAGGTTACTGAGCAAGTTTAACATTTACCGCTAAACTTTCAATTTTCAGCACTTAATTATGTTATCAAACTGGTCCTTAATCTATATATCATGACTAACCTACTTTTGTTTTTTTCAAAACCGAAAGTCTGAAAATTTTCACAATGCTCAATTTTTGACAACTAGATTCACATATAATCTTTTCATATTCTTTTGAAATTTTAAATAATACTTTAAATTTTGGCGATGAAGCAAACAAAATATATTTTTTACTTTTATTTAAATCAAAGAAACAAGCCGTATTTATTTTTATAATAGCTGAATATGGAGTATTGGATAATATTAACTTGTTACCAAATATGGAATGATGAACATTATAGATAGGTTTTAGGCTTCTAACAATATAATAGGCAAGATTGTAGTTTATTTTTAAATGTTTATTATATTGAATAGGGTTTGTCTAATAACCCAATTAAATGATAAAATTAAAAACTTCAGCACCTAAGAGATTTAGCTTGTTTGGTAACTTATAAATAAAATTGACTTAAAATATTCAATTAAGTTTTTTTTTGTGGTTTGTAAATACAATTAAGCTCAAAGGGCCATTGTTAGCAATTAGCTGACACAGGAAGGCCGTTAATATTTTTCTTTATGTCCGCTATTTTGACTTTCACAAAATTGATGTTTTCTTTAGCAGAGCTATATATATAGTTTGGTCTATTGAATTCATATATATAGTGATACAACGAACTATAATTGGACTTTCAAACAAATTAAGCCGCCGGCAACACCTAATAAGGTTTTGCAATGTCCCTTACAATGATGTTTACACTTGTGGGAAGCCGACCCAAGGTGGCTTTGCTGGTGAGATGGTCGTTCATCAGAAGTGCAACGCTTCACCAGCAAAAAACCAAAACTAAAAACGAAAATATGGCTTTTTCTTCCACTAGCAAATAGTTGCCCAAATGTTTTCATCAACTGTAGCGGGAGAGGGAGAAAACATGAGTAGCGAATTCAATTTGAGGCTTTTTTTTATTTATAGGGTTTTGGTCATTGTTGAATTTGTTAGCACGAACTCTAGCTTCAATTTGGGTATCAGAGAAAATTTTGGGAAAAATTGCCCCAGCTCTTGCTATGGCGAAAAGGCGGCTAGCGAATATTTGGCTGGTTGGCTAGTTATATTTGGCTGGTTGGCTAGTTCGGGCTCTATTTGAAAACGGACTCACTTTATATCCTTATTTGAAATTTATTTTTTCTAATAAATTCTGGCCAGTTAAAAAAAAATTTCCAATTGAACTATAATATCTTGTTTTGTTTTCTTTGAACCACCTTCTCCATAGTGACCAGTCATTGGAATTTGCAAGCCGAGATTGCGTGTTATGACTGTTCCAACGTAAGAATATGAGTAATCGCAATCCGATGAGCAGGTTCTTGCCAAGCTGACAGATTTTAGCTTCACTGATGTTTCTGTCACCTTTTCCTTTTCTCCTTTTTCTCCATGAAAAATAGACTTTTCTCATGTCATCAGTTTTCAATCTGTAGAAGGGACGAGGATGAATGATTCAAACACTTCGAGTTTTGGAGAGCATAACTTCACCTAATAAGAGGAAACTTTAGCCTGAAATTATCGATACAATTGTTGGGTTAAAGATCAGTGCGCGGATCTTCTTGATTCAATCTGAAAAAAGTCTCGTACACAATTGACATTCTATGTCAGGGCTAAGAATTTGGTCAATTAACGATGCCAACCGGCGAAGAAGACGAAAGGCTGCTTTTCGGGGCTGTAACAATCGAAGGTTGAGTCGACGTCGTGAAGGGTATCAGATTATGAACCTTCACGGCATGGAGGCCATCTAGTATCCAAGGTGTATCTCTGTCTGATGGGACTGCGTTACGACTTTCCGCATCATTTGGTCGTATGCGAGCTTGGACTAGTGCAACAAGGATGTTGACAACGGAGGCAAAACAGAAAGCCTGAAGTGATTATTAATAAAACTCACTGTTTCACCAATTCGAGTCAATTAGATTTGGTCCATGACAATTACAGGAAGGATGGAGACCAATGCACTACCATTTGTGTGACTGGTATTATTGCGTGACCTAAGTCAATCCAATGAGGCATTCCTAGAACTTGCCCTGCACCAAACAAGGTATCTGTTTTCTATATCTTGTCCTATTATGCTATTCTGAAACGTTTGAATCTTTATCAAGTTATTTACTTTCTCTTGCAGGTCAAACAGAACGGTCTGCGATGGCAGATCCTCCTATCGTCAGCTTCTTTTGCACTTCTATACCCTTACATACGTGGTTACCAGACACCCATGGAGAGGCACGTTATAGCACTTGTATGCTTCTAGCCGGAATTTTATTAAAAATGACCATCGGTTTTTCTGTCACTGCTGCGCCTATCAACTGAAGTTGACACCCCGAGTTCAGTTCAATCTATTAAAGAGGGAGACACAGTAGTTTCCATGGGCCGAAAGTTTGAGCTCAGTTTATTCTCTGCTGGAAGCTCAAAGAATAGTTTCTCGGGGATATGATTCTTGGAGAGTCCTGAAACGGTTGTGTGGGTTGTTGCTAGTAGGAACAGTCCACTCACTGATTTCTGGAAATAAGCAAAGAAGGTGAACTTGTTCTTCTCAACCAATCAAAGAGCGTCATTCAATCAGCAAATTCATGGAAACCCAGTTGCACAACTCCTAGATTCTAGCAACCTTGTTCTTAGGGAAAGCAACAGTTAAGATTCTGCTGATTACTCATGCCAGAACTTTGATGAAACATCCCAACACGATTTCGGTTAGTATGTGTCACGCTCCGAACCCCTACGAGCTCGCGACATCCCCTGCTCCGGTCGAATAGTTGCGACGTCCCAGGAACGTCGCCGACCCAACCTAAACATCAGAGCCACATGCGGAAGCGAATATAAAAATCCCGGACAAAAAGATGACGACAACGGGGTAGAACATCAGAACAATCAAACAACAACATCTTCATACAACACCAGATATACAAACATCATATTACAAACATAAATACAGACGAACATCCTCTGCCACCGTTTTAACAAAAGTTCAAGGGTTTGGTTATCTTAACTTCACTATCGGATAACCCAAGTTGAACAACCCCTAAAATACCCTAGGGAAAAACCTACTGGGTCGCCGTTTTCCATTCTGCTCCTAATTCATCTAGCTCGATCCTCCGGAAATCTCTTAGGCATCGCCTGCGAATCCTCCGGGCACCATGGCTGCTCTTCGTACTTCAAAAAGAAGAGGCGGGCTCCCTGGGTTTACGGCTGGGGGTCTGAAAATGGTGGTTATACAACCATGAGACGAATCTCAATAAGTGTACAACCCCAAACCCCACGTAGGCACTCACGTACCACCAGACAGATCACGCATCTCACACAACGATCAATCAATCTAACAATCACACCCAAACCTACCTGGAACCCATCATGCACGTTCCTGCACGTTAGACCATAATATAGCCAGCACATCACAGCAAGGAATCACAAACGCGCGCGTGCCTCAATTATAAGACAGAAACCACTTGGGCACGTCCCATACCGTGCCTAGCAGTTTCTACCCCATAATTAAGCATCACATCACGTGATACAAACACACTCGCACACTACTCACACCATGCGTCACTTTCTCAAACCTCGCACCTCAAGCCAATTCCCGCTCATTCTCCACTCTTCCACCACTACCGCGCCCGCGTAAAACGCATCAGGCCAACGGTCTTCTGACCTTGTCAGGCATCGACACCCCGTCGGGTCGGGCATCGTCACCTCGTCAGGGACGGCATCGTCCCGCGTAAACGAACATGCCTCAGGACGGAATTCTACACACACTTTCCTTCTACCGCGCCCGCGTAAAACGCATCAGGCCAACGGTCTTCTGACCCCGTTAGGCATCGTCACCCCGTTGGGCCGGGCATCGTCACCTCGTCAGGGACGACATCGTCCCGCGTAAACGAACACGCTTCAGGACGGAATCCTACACACACTTTCCTTCTACCGCGCCCGCGTAAAACACATCAGGCCAACGGTCTTCTGACCTCGTCAGGCATCGACACCCCGTCGGGTCGGGCATCGTCACCTCGTCAGGGACGGCATCGTCCCGCGTAAACGTACACGCCTCAGGACGGATCCTTTCCAACCAATCGTAAATTTCCATATCCTCATTTCGCTCAAACCACACTTACACACGGTCAACAATCGCACGGCCAAACACAATTTCACATTTTACGCACATTTCACAATTCACATATACTTTGCAAATATACAGTCTCACCACACAAGCACACCACATAATCATACACATATAACACGCGATCCCAAAGCACAAGCACACCATCACCACATCTCACTACCACATACATGTCACTCGGCCAAGCCACATTCAGCCCAATCACAATCCCAAATCAGCCCACAATCACAAACAGTACGCTTAACCCAACAAGCCTAATCAAACCATAACAATTCCAATCAATCACACAATAAATCCGCGATCAATCCACAACATCACAACCATCATCGAGCCTCCCAAACCTCGAAATTCATCGCCCAAATCAGTCCATATTCTCCGAACAACCAGCCTTAATCAAATCCCCAAAACAGCCACATAAACCCCCTAAACCGAGTCCTAACCGCGTCTAGCAATACCCGAGGTCCTAGGTAGTTTTTGGGGGAGACACTTACCCCATAAAAACAGGACAAGCTGGCTGGATGGGGGCTAGGATGGCCGGAACAGCAGCGGCGGCGGCGGCGGCGGCGGCATCGCCGGCGACGTACGGACGTCGACGTACTGACACCGTACGGACGTCGACGTACTGA